CTCCTCCGTATCGCAATAATGCTCTTTCAAGGGTGGCTGGACCGCCTCGCCATCTTGGGATGGAATCCTGGGCTGGGCACTTAGCACTCTTCTACGCTAGTCAACGCATCGGTCGTTTGATAAAAGGGGGAAGCGCAAGAAAGATGTCCAAAACCGTGTCCGGTCGCTTCTCCAGCTTCTCCATCCGTGCGCCACCGTCGTCCTCCTGCGCTCAGTAGCAATACCCCGCACACCGAACAATCAAAACCCTTACCATCCATAAAACCAGCAAGCTTAAGGATCTCTGTCGCACTTGTGCTCCGTGTCCTGGTACACTTGGCGCTGGTCCTCAAACCACCCAGCCAGGTTGCTCGCCTCTTCCTCTGCCAAATCCTTCATCTCCTGGTAGAATTACAATGTAAGATCAAAGCTGCATCCGCTGCTGAACACCTTGCCTCAACTCCACTGTTGGACAAGGTATAGAGCGTCTAAGGTTTTGCAGTCTAGGCTCTAGGCCGTTAGGGTTTATAAGTGGCCCATTAAAGCAGGTTTAAACGCACGAGACCAAGACCCCTTTTGAAGACAGACGCCGCCTGGAAGATCTCTGTTGCATCGGCCTGTCTACACGGCGAAAACGTTCCAATCATGCGCAGCTTGACCACTGTTTGATTTTGCGGACTCGGTGCAACTGTCCAGAGGATGAGGTTTATATACACTGGAAATTAAATTAGGAAATGCTCCCATGCATGTGACGAGCCTTGCGGCAATCCACAGCCGCGAAGAGCTTGCAGTGCAGGCTTTGCATTCTGCCCCGCAGGCTCTGGTTGTCCAGGCGCTTCTTCAGTCGAGCCTGGCAAAAAGAGATTGCCCGCCTTACCTTCGTGAAGCTACGGATTCTCTGCTCAATGCAGACTCAATGCATGCCACCCCTTCCGAGACAAGCGAAGTCCTTCTTCTCATCGAGCTCTTTGCGGCGCCGTGCATCGCCGGTCAGCATCAAGCCGTGTCCTTGGACTAGGAACGGTGTCATGGCACTGCAGCTACATGGCACAATTACTGACTTGCACCTTCGCCCTGCATGCCTCTGCATGGAGCTGCCTAGACCCTTTACATGCGCCAACTTGACCAAGCATCGATTGAGGAAGACATCGAAGAAGACGTAAAGTATGCCACCCGCTGACCAGATCAATAGGAACAGGAGCCGCCACATCCTCGGCGTTGGCCACATGAATGGAGTTTTGCCCAATTCCGCGTGCTTTGTTTATTGCCGCAGATTTATACCGGCGCAGCACGACGCTTCCGTTGAATTGGCTGTCGGCGACTTGGTCGTTACCGCTGCTGTGCTAGCTGGCTTGCCTTGTTTAGCGCCTGCTGGTCTTGCCCGCGACAAAGCAAAATCCTGACACTCAGCCTTTCAGCTGTGCTCAGGACAAGGTAGGAAACAGAACAAACAACGATGACCCCCCCCCCCCCACCTATGTCAGTGCGATGCATAAAGCAAGCATCATTTTGTTCTCTGGACCAACGAACTCCTCCAGGTTCGGGCGCTGCTTCGCCTCCTGCTCTTGGACTGCACGCCGGATGACCAACAGTACGTTCACGGCTCCGATCATCACCACGGGCCACAGGCCACAACCGAGCATCCACAAGAACATGCGCAGGGAGAGTGCCTCACAGAGTGGCTCAATTCAAACTTGAGCAAACTCAAGCCTCTCTGCCTAATTATTGGGCTTGTACGCCACCAAAGGCCCAAACCTCAGACTCGAATGCTGAGGCCTTCTCGGTGTAGAGGAGCTTGAGACCCTGGACTGCCGAGATGGTAGCGACGAGACAGGCAAGCAAGGAGAGCATCAGGGCTTTCGAGTGGTGCACTTCCATAGCCGCGCTCGGGTGCTCCACTTTGGGGCAAGCTTTATAGCCATTATGATCTTGACACAGCTCGTCTGCTGCGTCGTTGAAGTAGACCAGACCGCTGATGGTGCCCGTTGTGTTTACCGGCAGGACACCCAAAGCCTCAAGTCGGGTGTCTTTTGTGGAAGGTTTCTAGGAGTCCGAGGTTTGGGTTATAGGACGTAACCGGAGCCCACCTCTGGATTGGGATAAACAAATCTGCATTCGAGGCTTGCCACGCAGGCTCTCGACGCTAGGGCTAGGGACGCAGCCTTAGGGCGGAGTGGGCATGCAAGCAGCATTGTCTGTGATGAAGACATCCTCCAGGTGCACGGTCGAGGATTTCAGCAGTAGTCCAGCAGCCAGGTTCGTCATGCGCACATCATTCGCTTCTAAACGCGATGACTTCAAAATAATCCCGTTGCATTGCTTGTGCTTGCCCGGGATGTCTACCCCACTCAGGTTCAGAGAAGAGGCACGGGCTGTGATTCCGACGCTACACTCTCTGCAGGTCATGCCGGTGATGTTCAAAATCGTCCGGTCCAGGACAAGCCCGACGCCCATGATGCTGTGCATAGAAACATCGCGAAGCTGAGCAATGCCACGGTCGCTCTCGTTCCTGCTTTGCAGGGTCAAGCCGGAACTCGTGACATCTTCCATCGTGACGCCTTGCATGGTTAGCTTCCACTGGCTCGCATCAATCTTGACCTTGGTGGTGGGGTTGTCAGTCTATGGTTTGATACAAAAACGTTGCACAATTATCTTGCTTGACTTTGGGCTCCCGGCAGCACTCCAGACGTTCCGAAACTTCACCATGGTGAAAGTCACATCTAGCATCGTAGGACCTGCGTGACACATTCATAAAGTCAAGACCTCCGACCCTCACGGCGACACAAGATGTGGTCTGCGTGGGACGATTCTTTTCAGCAAGCTGGAAAGTGTTATCGGACGGGATCCAGCAGGAACAGCTAACGCAGTATGTACCGGAGCAGGTGAAGGTTAAACCCTTCAAGGAATACTGGCAGCTCTTCAAGTGTCGTTGATTTAGCATGCGGCCTTCATAGATGTCAAGATACTGGAGGAACGGGGTGTAGACATCGAAGACTTCCACGTCGCGAATCTCCAAGTGCGCACCGAATTTGCCCACAACGGACACTGCCGTCTGCATGGAGGAGCCGACGAGAGCAGATTGCCGGGAAGAGATCGACACGCAGCTTCCGTAACATGCGCCGAAGTGTGAATTCTCAATGTGGTTGTGGTCTCCTTGAAGTTCTAATTCGTACCTCCCGGTCATGTTGGACTCTACGATGCTGGCATTGCCAGACACCAACCAATAGACGTTAGCCGATGTCGAAGTTGCAACGGCAAGCTCATGTCCGGTGACCACGCGGAAGTCTTCCGTCTTTGTAGCGCCAAGGTGCGACCTCGAAATGGACAAGATGATAGTACCTAGCGCGACGCTTGACAGGGAATCGATCATTCTGCCGGTGAGCATGATGGTGGAGTCAAGGACTGTGACAATTTCCCCAGCGAGGGCCATGCGCATTGGCATCAGAAACGATCTCTGTATCGTGAGAGAAGTGATGAAGCCATGGCGTTGCATGTAGTGTTCATATACCAGGTATGACGCGAACCGACTCCGCCAGGTTATCTCTGCTTGGTCGTCGCCAGGGTCCGGGTCGTGCAGTGCTTTCACTGCCACATCGATCAGAGCCAAAGAACCCAGTTGCAACGACTCACTGAGTGTTGCTCTCATCACTTGGAGGCTTTTCAGCGTCAGCTCAGGCCTTGGATGTTGCAGCTACGCTCGCGGAGTGCCTTGCTTGATATTCCCTGATGCACGCCCGTGCACCCGTGATGACGATGATCTCATGTACATGGAGCATATCTTGGGCTATCACCGAACCAACCGACCTTCATACCGCTCAATGAAGTCTGAGGGCTTCGCATGAAGCTCCTTCAGCCCTAGCATAGGATGTAGCCAGGGTCCGGAAGGAAATTACAGAACCGATGACCATGCTGTTCAACATGCCCTGCCTTGGTGTCTCGTCGGTGTACCCTTTCACATACAAATCCTCCACCTTCGTGCCCGGCTCACCCTGCAACTCCAGATTGGCATCGGGTGGCAGAGTAAATGTAACGTTTTGGTAGACCTCAGACTTCTCTCTGTCAACTTTAAGCTTGTCAACGATCGAAATTTAGACTTGGCTCCAGTTATGTGCTTGAAGCGTGATACATATATATATATGTATGTGTATATGTATATATATATATATATGTTTATTTATTTAATATATATTTATACATATATATAAATATATATATATATCTATATCCGCAGTAAGGCATCACTACTTACGATTCTGCAGGGTGCTCCAGGCATGAGAAAGCCAGGCCACGCCTGCCAAGAGATGCACTCGCATGGGCTCTGCTGCATTGACGGACGCCAACACGCTGGAGACGTTCTCAGGCGAAGCCAGAATCCTTAACACCAGCAGAAGACTCCCCCAGCGGACTGGAAATCACACTCAAACACTCTCTCGTCATCGGCTTCAGGCTACTGCTCAGACTGTTCACTCAACAACTCAAGGGCAAGATACGCAGGTGAAGATGGAGACTCCTCGATTTCGTCGTCGAGTTGAACGGCAAAGTGCCGAGAGTCTCGGTGTGCCCCGACCAGGAACAGACCCAGAAGGAGCCAGGATATCATGGCCTTCACGCTAGAGAAAGCATAACAGAGACATGAAGACCTCATGGCCGCGACTGAAACCATCTTTCAGCTATTCACCTGGCCTCTAATCACAAGTCAGCGCAGTCGACAGGCTGCCATCCACCAGGGAGGAGGACGCACAGAGATCCTTGGTCGGCTCATGGGGCATGCGATCTGGCAGTTTCTCACCGAGCGCTTCTGCTGCAGGCATGCGCACACATATACTTCATAACAAACAAACAATGACAAACAAACAAACAAACATACATACATGTGTACGTACATACATACACACATACACATACACATACACATACACATACACATACACATACACCTACACCTACACCTACACCTACACCTACACCTACACCTACACCTACACCTACACCTACACCTACACATACACATACACATACACATA